ACAGGGCTGCGCCCGCGCGAGGCGCCGCGGCATGGAGGACTGCGAGCGGCTGCGGCGGCTGCGGGGCCGCGTGCGGCTGGTCCCGGACTTCCCCAGCCCCGGCGTGCTGTTCCGGTGGGCAGAGCCGGGCAGGGAGCGGGAAGAGAAGGGGATGGGCTCGGCCTGCCGGTGTGGAGACCCCCCGGCGCCGGGCTCTCGTGGGGGGGCCGCCGCCGCCGGGAAGCCAGCGCCTCTGCCCCTTGTTTTGCAGCGACATCAGCCCGCTGCTAAAGGACCCCGAGGCCTTCGGGGCAGCCATCGGTCTCCTGGAGGCCCACCTGAGGGCGGCCCACCCGCACACGGACTACATCGCGGGTGAGCGGCGTGGCGGGAGCCTCGCGGGGCCTTGCTGCCCTCCGCCGCGCGTCGGGGGCAGCGGAGCCCGCGGCCCGAACTGGCGGGGACACGGCTTCCTCAGAGCGCGGGGAAGGGGCAGGTTTCCGTCTCCACGTCCGCCTTGCTTTGCTCCCGCAGGTCTGGATGCCCGCGGCTTCCTCTTCGGGCCGCCTCTGGCGCAGAGACTGGGGATCGGCTTCGTGCCAATACGCAAAAAGGGGAAACTCCCCGGCCCCACGGAGACGGTGTCCTACGCCCTCGAATACGGCCAGGTAACAGCCGCGGGAGACTCGCCGTCTTGGGCCCTCCAGCCCAGTGTTTCTCAGCCTTTTAAGTAGCAAGTCCCCCCAGCTTCTGAACATTTTAGTAAGTTCCCACCACTCAGTTTTCCAGGGGATTTTATGTTTACAGACTAATGTGTGCCACATGTTGGAAGAAGGGCTTTTGAGAGGAAAAGAGGGTGAGAGAGCGTGTTGGGGTCTTGCGTACCCCCAGGGGTTCGTGTACCACCGGTTGAGGAACTCTGCTCCAGCCCCCCTCCTGTCTCGTGCAGGGCTGGGGCGGATGCTGAGTGGGCGAACGGGGCCCATCCAGGATCTTGTGCCTGCCCACTGCGGCTTCCAGCAGCCAGAGTCGTGGATGTGCTGGGACCCATCGCAGCTCTGCAGGGCCAGTGCCGGGGATGTTGTGGCCCAAAGCCGCCTGGAATGGGGATCACAAAACACTAGGCCAGCGTCTTACGCACCAGCAGGCACATTCAGGTGGGGTGCTGGTCTGGGATGAGCTCGTTCCCCGGTAGGAAGAGGAGTGTGCATGACTGATGCCCTTGTGTGGCTGGCCCCAGCAGTATCTGGCCTCCTCAGCAGCATCTGGCCTCCTCAGCAGCTTGAGGAGCAGAGGCTTGTGTGTGCTGGGGGCTGACAGTTCTGCGGTTGATTTGCTTGTATTTTTATGTGTGCATGTTGCAAAGCAGTGCCGCGGGCACGCAGCTAAAACTGCCTGGCCTTTCCCACCCTGCAGGCTGAACTAGAAATCCAGAGGGATGCCGTGGAGCCGGGAAAGAAAGTGGTCCTTGTGGATGACCTGCTTGCCACGGGCGGTAAGAGCAGCAGCCTGGTCGAGCCTGGGCCTCGTGCAGTTGTTCCTGGCAGAGGTCTTGGTGATCCCTGCGTGGCTGCAGGTCCCAGGCTGCCCTTCGCGGTGCGTCTTGGGGAATCAGTCCCGAGGAGCACGTTGCAAGATCGCAGCTCAGAGGAAATGGAAGCTGCCCGAGCCCAGGCGGGTAGTGGAGATGTTGCGTGTCTTCAGAGCACTTGGAAGGGGGTGGGGTTCCTTTTGCACGTCCTTGTTGCTTTGCTCCCTGTATGTCTGAATGCCATAAGGACTGCTGGAGTTCAGGCCACATTGCGAGCTGTCACCTGGTGTCTTTGAAATGAGAAGCCACCTGTATGCCCACGGGAGCAGCAGGGAGTCTGAGCAGGAGCCAGGGCTTTGCACTGATATGCACGCTTGGGGTGACTGCATTTCTCCACTTGATGTCTCTGTGCAGGTACCATGCGCGCAGCCTGCGAGCTGATGAAACGTCTGAAGGCCGAAGTGCTCGAGTGCTTGGTGGTCATCGAGCTGCTGTCTCTGAAAGGGGCCGAGAAGCTGCAGCCTTTGCATTGTCACTCCCTGCTGCAGTATGACTAGTGCTCGGAGCAGACCGCCCAGCTGCCTGGCTGGTGCCAGGTCTTGCTCCCACTGCTTGCATGAAGGTTGTTCTAAACTCCTGTTTGGGCAGTGATTTGTTTGAGACCTAATAAAACAAACCTAGCTGTCAACCAGGGGTACATAACCTGAGCTGTTTCTGCTTCTTTTCCATGCTGCGAGTGAGCTTCTCGTGTACTCCAAGGCTCTGTGCTTGATGCTGTATATTTTCCTCACTGCCCCCAACCTTTGAGGAAAGGATACAGTGCAGGTGACAGCCTGTGTGGAGCCTAAACTTTGTAGCCCGAGCCCATAACCTACACAGTCAAATTGGTCACCAGCTAGCTGGAGGGCCGCACCCAGAGAGTGGGGTGGATGGGTCA